CGATACAAGTGGGAGGACAACATCACAGAAGATGGGCGAACAGCAGTCTTTACAACCAACATTCATTGTGGATACGTCTGTTGACTGACTGATTGACAGGACAACGGGGACTTGAGCCTGAAGATTTAGGGCCTTGTGAGGTTGTATCAGATATCACGACAGCAAAGAGTAGAACCGGTCAGCTTCCCATTATCACAATCACTAGCGAGGAATAAGCGTTGCGGATAGAAAGCTTCATCAGCACACGTCATGAAAAGACAATGTTACCATTGCAAAAAACAATATATAGAATCACTTTACTGAGGTAGAAAACGGTAATTCGAAAAAAAATAAATACAGCACAGACCAGTTAGAATAGCGAAACCAACATAAGGCAGATGAAATAATTTAACTGCAGTGAAAGTATCACATTATAAAGATGATTCCATTTATGATATCCAAGGATAGAAGGGAATGGAGGAACAGTTTTCTAGCTCTATGTGACATTAATTGCACAACATGATGAATATCATAATGATGATGATGATGATGATGATGATGCTGATGATGATGATGATGATGATGATGATTACAGGCAAGATACTGAGTTACACGAGACGGCTCCAATGGGAGATTAGGAGCACGAGAAGGAAACGACATCGATCCATGGAGAATTAACTGGACATCAATGAGTTATTTGTAACTTTAACCATATTAGGATTATGGCATACAAGGACACTTGCTAGATAAGATCATAGCCATGTAAGACACTTCCCAAAGCGCACAGAGAACACAAGAGGGAATATCTCATATGTTTACAATTATCACAAAGGTGGAGTAAGGAGGTGTGCTATCTCCGCTCTTATTTACTTCACATATAGACAAAATATCAAAAGAAGCCAGCTTTAAAGCAGTTGACGCAGAAAATACAGAAAAAGAAGAGTTTTGCTTTCAGGATAAAGAATTAGATCCACACACAATAAAAGAGCTACTAGTTGCAGACGATCAGTGCCTGTTCTACAACGGAGGGTGTAGACTACAAGATCATTTGAGCAGGCTAAGTTCAACATGCTGAAGATCTATCATAAAAATAAATACTACTAAAATTGAAGTAATGCAGAATTCCTAGTCAGCTAATATCGTGTTGAATGGTACTTGTCTAAAGCACGTTAAAAAATTTATAAATATCTAGGAAGTATATTCTCGGAGGACGGAAGAATATATCGGGAAATAGAAATAAGATGTCAGTGAGTCAGTGCACTTGTATACCAACTATCACCGTTATTAAGACATTCAAACAATAGTGTGAGCGCCATGAAAGAGATTATTAACAGCATATTCATAGCAACACTGTGCTGCAAGTGCCAGGCTTGGACACTATCAAAGGCTAACCTGCGTACAATTAACGCCTGTGAAATGAGACGTCTGAAGGAAGCCGCCAACTTAAAAATCCGAGAGAACGTTAAAAATAATATCAGAAAGACTGTAGGAACAACTACATGCAGCAAATTCATTGAGAAACATAAGATCAAATGGTTTGGTCATATAGTAAGAATGCAGCCAGAACGATTACTACAGCTGGTGCTACACGTGAACAGATCTGAAGTAAAAGCAAGAGGTCGCCCTAGGAGAAAATAGATTGATGACATTAAAGAGCTTCTACATCGACACAGAATAACAATAGCCACTGATGCCCAACAAGCAATGGATCGCAAACGGTTCCTCCTCACGCACCTTAACGGCAGAAGTAGAAATTGGTAGTGATTTATGACGATGAACCATCTGTAACTTATTTAATGACACTGGTAATAAAAACGGCGATGTATACATTAAATATCTAGCCACTGAGTAAACTAGATAGTACATTTATTCTAACACTAATAACTTTGGATAGCTGCATACAAGAACATCAATGATGAAGGACTATTGCAACTGATGGCGGACTGAACAACATCAATCATGAAGACTATTGAAAGTGGTAATGGACTAAAGACCACCAGTCATGAAGGACTATTGCAAGTGGTGGTGGATTGATGAACATCAATCATGAAGGACTATTGCAAGTGGTGGTGGGTTGATGAACATCAGTCATGAAGGACTATTGCAAGTGGTGGTGGACTGATGAACATCAGTCATGAAGGACTATTGCAAGTGGTGGTGGATTGATGAACATCAATCATGAAGGACTATTGCAAGTGGTGGTGGATTGATGAACATCAGTCATGAAGGACTATTGCAAGTGGTGGTGGATTGATGAACATCAATCATGAAGGACTATTGCAAGTGGTGGTGGATTGATGAACATCAGTCATGAAGGACTATTGCAAGTGGTGGTGGATTGATGAACATCAGTCATGAAGGACTATTGCAAGTGGTGGTGGATTGATGAACATCAGTCATGAAGGACTATTGCAAGTGGTGGTGGATTGATGAACATCAGTCATGAAGGACTATTGCAAGTGGTGGTGGACTGATGAACATCAATCATAAATGACAATAAGTGCAAGTGGTGATGCTGATACTTGTGATGATGATCATGATTAACATGATGTCGATGATGATGATGATGAATCAGCAAACTATCTGGCCAGCCATCAACTACATAACACATTTATGCAAACATTTATTGCCTTCCAACTGAAGGCTAAAGCCTCAACGATTCATGTTAATTCTGATAGCAAACGACAATAATGATGATGCTGATGATGATGACAATGGTCTTCTTCTTCTTCTTCTTCTTCTTCTTCTTCTTCTTCTTCTTCTTCTTCTTCTTCTTCTTCTTCTTCTTCTTCTTCTTCTTCATCTTCTCCTACGTTTACCTTTAAACTGTCAGATGACACATTGAATTTAGATTTAAGGCTAAGCTGCGATATCTGCGCTTTTCGGCACAACACATCGGACTTGAGCAAACCCCTTAATAGTCGCCACTTACGACATGCTTTTCCCTAAATACTGCCCCGGAACTCATTCAGGGAGGTAAATACTGTGTTAATGAGAGTTATAATATAGATGAGCTGAATATAAGCCAATACATAATAACATTATTGTAACAACGTCCCTCAATATACCTCTATGACGAAAGCGAACCCAATCTAACCATGACAGATGGATGTTCAGTAGTGATTAAGTCAAAGTAAAGTAACGGACCCTTTTCCACGCCTTTGGGTGTACTGGGCATATAGGGCTCGACCTTTATGGAACAGGTGGTACTCGGACAAATCCCGAGTGGCGCCCAACACCGAGATATTCATGCTGAAGCTCTTCGTGTCTCTGGTTGTGTGTGTGTGTCACCAGCGGAATCAGGGTCTTGTGGACCAAGACCCAATAGATTGATGATGTGGTCAACAACAGGTCGTCAGTAGTAAATGGTGAATAGCAAATGATGATGTAGCTGATTAGTATGGTGATGATGATGATCATGACAAGGATGGTGATGATGACGATGATGATAATGGTAATGGTTGATAATTCACTAAATATCTGCAGATACATAATATAATTAATCTAACACGGTCCTGAATGTATCTCCATCAGGAAAGCAGACCCGCAAATAATCCACTTTGTCTACTTGTTGAATAGTTTTCATCGGCAAACGGGTCGTCCGTTGGCTGGTGGGTAGACGACTTCGTCACCAGTTGAAACAGTATCTGAGTCTATCTCCTAAAATGGCATCCTACTGCAAAAGTCCTTACCAGGAAGGACTACTTGTTGGCGACCAATGCTACGCCGTTTTATATGGCGCTAAAAAACTAGTCACAATAATAACCTAAAGCTCCCCCTTCAGGTCTTTTGTCGTGCGGTGCAGAGATCATGGGTAAAAAAAACATACAACGGCACATAAATTGAGTATATATTTATTTCATGAATTCTGACATCTCATATCCTCCATGAAGAGTGCAGCGTCAGCTGCTACGTGCTTCTGTTAGTAACTTGATAATTCGTCTCTCAGCAGTTGATTCACAACAATTCACGCCCAGGTGATCTGATTATTTATACCGACGGTTCGGTGTTGAGAGGAAAGAGAAGTGCCTAGGGGTTCGTAGCGAAAGCCAATGGAAAATCTTTAGTGCAAGACATCTAGCAAACGACATAACAACATCTAGCATGAGAATGGAGGTGGAGGCAGTAACTGCAGCTCTCCGGTGACTACAGAACAAGATGCATACACATGTCGTTATTGTAACAGACTCTGAAAGCGTGCTGAGAAAGATGAAGACAAGGAACTTCAAGCAGAGTGGCAAGCTTCACTGGGAAGGTCACGGGTAGTGAGCATACTTTGGATCTTTTCTCCAGGCAATGCCAGCGTAGTGGGTGGTGAACAAGCAGACAGATTGGCAGGATTTGCATCACTGGGTGGTGAATTGATACATGACAAGGCAGATGTGGTCAAGGCCCTTTGGGAACAAGCAACGGAAGTTGATTGTGACCGGTACCATCAGTACTGGAATTCTGTGCTGGCTGCTGAAGATTAGGACGGAGCACGCATGGGAATGCCCCGAGTGCTGTGATGTCAATTCTTGACTCAACTTCCTCAACTCAACTCGTCTCCCAACTTTATTTTGTTTGTTACTATCGAAATAACTAACTAGTTACTTCATTAGGTCGATGATATATTACTTAACTTGGCTCATTTGTTCAATGATCATGTATGTCGCTAAGGTCACTACCTCCATAATCCACGAAAAGATGATTGGATGATATTAAATACACTGTACGAATATATAACCGACAAGGAATGACAGTAACAAGTGAAACCATTCGGCCATTGGATATGGAAATGTTCGTCCCCATACAGCTCTTAGTAGCAAAAGTGGATGTCGATAAGAATGATGATTATTTCCACGACCGAGAACCTGGATAACACCACTGGTTATTTTATCTGTTATTGCACTGAACTGATTAGTTCTATGGTCACCTGTTTCACTGAATCCATTAGTCACTGAATCCATTAGTTCGGTGATCAGTTAGTTCGCTGAAAATATTAGTTACACGATCAGTACTCATACTGACTAAAGGAAAAATTACACAATCGTTTCACTGTTCATCTTTCTGTGTTTTGACTTATCGTTTCGTATCGATCTCGACGATGAAGGAATACTAGTTTTAATCGGCGCCTGTCGATAATGACGGACCGGCACACTGTACTCTATACTTTTTCTTTCCCTCTTGGGCCCAAACACTTTTTGATACTGGGTTCTCCAAGAGACCAACGTCTTGGTGGACCAGACCCAGATTCCGCTGGTGATGCCCACAACAAGGGACATGAAGAGCTTCAGCATGAATATCTCGGTGTTGGGCCCAGCTCGGGATTTGTCCGAGTACCAGCTGTCCCTGGAGACGTACTCATACAGCAAACAGCCGAGGACACAGGTTGCGGGCACCGTGTAGAGCACTGAGAATATGCCAATCCTAATCATCAGAGCCTCGATTTTGTCTTCCCTGCAGGTGGCTCCGATACTGCTGCTGCTGCTACTGCTCGGGGCTCTATCAGAAGATCTGGTGGATTTCTTCACGGATCGGGAAACGAATCCTGCGATAAGGAACGACGCTCCCAGAGTGAGGTAGATTAGTTGAGGGGCGATAACAAAGCCCATGAGCGTGGATGTGTCCTGATTGCCAACATAGCATATACCAGTGAGTTCGTCTGCGTCTACATCCCTCATCACTAGAATAACTATGGTTTGAATTGCCGGGATGGCCCAGGCAGCTAAATGATAATAACTACTATGAATTTGGATTGCCTCGTGGCTCCACTTGAGTCCAGCGGCTAAAAACCAAGTGAAAGTCAGTATGACCCACCAAAGGGAGCTCGCACTTCCGAAGAAGTACAGTAATAGGAATACAATAGCACAGTCTGTATTTTCCAAACCTTCTTGGATGAGAATGTTTTGACCGCTTTGGCTTTCCGTATCACAGGCGATATCATCTCGCCCAGCGATTAGCCGTACAATGTAGGCAATGCTGTAAATATTGCAGCACATGGCCAAGAGAACGATGGGTCGCTGGGGATAGCGAAATCGCTGTGAATCTATAATAAAAGTTAAAACTGTAAACATGGTGGACACGAAACATAGCCCAGCCCAAACCGCCATCCAGACGTTAGCAAAATACTTATTGTCCTCCGTGAAAATATCATTCTGGTCGCACAGCAAGGCACAACGCTCGGTTCTGTTGATGTATGTGTACTTCATGAAGTTCCGGTAGCCCAAATGCATACACGGTTTGGATAACTGTTTCGGCAAGTCAGGGTACTTAATTTCAGGGATCGGTGGCAGATGGATTCCGGGAACAAACGTTTGCGTTGAGGCCGTTGTTTGTTCTGTACGACCTGGACGCCGAACTGGTGGTACCGTATGCTTGTCCTGCTCGCCATCGGGGCCCTCCATACACATATGTTCATGATTGTTTTCCGTGGGAAACTTGGAACAGTTCAAGGCCCCAGGCCAGGGGTAGCCAAACTCGTGTAACACCGGTTTACATCGGTCTCTGACGCTTTCGCACAACGGCCTGCAAGGTCCAATAGACACCAAAACTTTCTCTGTACACATGGGGAGGTAAACGGAACATAGAAAGAACTTGAGGCGGCTGGAACAGTTGTACTGGATCAGAGGAGTGAATGTCTGCAGTTGTAGGATGGCGTCCTCTTGGTCGGGATGCCCTACCAGGTTGGGCATTCCTGTAACGTTGTAACCCAGACCTCTACACATGGTTGATCTGATCGGTTCGCATGATCTCACAGTTTCTGAGGCGAACACACCGTAGAACAAGCAGACAAAAGTTGATAAAGACAATCTCAAACTGCAGGCACATGTCCGCTGCCGCCTGGCTGGGAGATCACTTCTGTTGGTAGCTGCCATGTCTCGTCTGCTTGACAACTGTTACTGTTTAGTATGCGCTGGAGAAAATACCCGATTTTACACGTAATCTCTTTAGACGAAACGACACGAAAAGAATCACCCTGTCCGTAGTTCTTCGATAGTTAACTCAACCTATCAAGTCCCTGGTTCACCAAAAGTAAACTCAAAAAATCAAGTCCGTAGTTCACCCACAGATAACATATCGCAGCTCATCAATATTTAACGCACTAATTCTGGTTCTTCAATAGTTAACTCAATATACTATTTCTGTCCTTGTGTTAGCAGTCATCACACGCTGAGGTTGATACTGAAGATGGGATCCGTGCGCTTATGGACCTTTCTGATGTGCGATGATGATGATCAGTCTATTAACTGTAGTTAGTAATCTAGTTAACATCAAATTCGTGATTAACCGGTTGTTAACATAACATACCATGTCCGTTGTTCACCAATAATTAACACATCCTGCTCGCTGTGCACCAATAGTTAATTCTACACATCAAGTCCCTTGTTCACCGTTAGCTAACTCACCACATTATTCCCGTGGTTCAAGTTAACATATCCAGTCTGTAGTTCACCAAAAGTTAACATATCCAGTCTGTAGTTCACCAAAAGTTAACATATCCAGCCCGTAGTTCAACAACAGTGAACTTAACATAACAAGCACGGTGTTCACCAATAGTTAATGCAGTAAAATACCAACGCTGCAAGCAGAAACCAAGCTACCGGCAACACGGCCACAGAAAACAGCTGGGAAAACAATTCCCACTTGCTTATTCCTCAGCTGGCAATGTCTTTCGATACTGGACATTCCAGAAAGCATGTACGTGAAGGGAATTGTCTTTATACGTCAGTGCTGTAACAGACTGATATTACTAAGCACATTACTCCTGTTCTTATTAAAATTGTTGAAAGTAGTTCTCTTGATCCACGAAATCAAATGTGAACTTACATGGCCGGTGAAGATTGTGTGCCTTGCCTGCAGGCATCTAAATTGTCGGCTGCCAAGTCTGTTCTCCTGCTGTTAATTCTTCCAATCTTTGTCTGAGCAGAAAACACAATCTGTCAATTACATCCATTGTGTCCTTGCCTTAGATTACAGTGTAATAATTCCACTATCTGGATTCTAAGAAAAGATTTCAAGATACCAGCTGGAACCACTAGAAAATTTCAGTTAACCTACAAACACACTACACAGTAGAAAACCTGATTCTCCTTCTCCTGAAGTTTTTGTTAACTTTTTTCTCGTTGCAAACATTAAGTTTTACAGCTCTGCATAAAACAAACCTCGAGCGGAAAGAGAGATGTACAAAGTGAACAGACCTACTCGCTTTGTGCCGACGAGTAACCAGGCCGCCGTTGGTACTTCTTCCATATCCGTAGCTCCCCCTGTCTGCCAGGACAACGGAGAAGTTAGCGCGGGCCCAGACAGAGTTCACACGCTAGGCATTCATACCGCAGCGGGTTTTTTTTTCCTTCCCATTTTCCCTCCCAATGCGCGCTCCTCCCATCTGCTTCATTACCCGGTCTGTGAGAAAATGCATCAATCATTCTCGTTTGCTTGTCAATCAAAATATAATGACCGAGTCCCAAAGGATCTGAGATCGCGCGCGGGTAATAATCCGGCTATTCACAGTCGGGCATTTATTCTTCCTGCGATGTCCTTTTCAGGAGCCGTATACAACTGTAATCTGTAGGCGCGATACGGGTGACTGAGATAGGGGAAATAGCGGGCACTGTAGCGGTCTTGTGTCTTGGTTTTGTGTGTAATCTGGTAATCATAGTTTCAGCTTCATAGCAAACGGGTCACCCCATAGTTGCTCTGCTCCTGTGCCAAAGAAAAACACACGTAGCTCACAGTGTCACGCCATGCACTCAACTCTGAAGCTGGGCGACGAATCGATATCCTTCCAGTCGACAAATGGAGCAAAAATGCAACGACCACCGTCTGGAAAAAAAAGGTGCCCGTGCCTAGCGTCCATTTTGACCTGAAGCATTATATGAGGGTTAATAAACGGTCACCCCAGCAGTACCCTCATTATTAGCTGGGGAAGTGACTTAGGACATTACATCCACCAGCAGGCGTCGCTCCTACAACGACCTGCCTGCCTTCGCTAACGACTGTTCACCTAACAGCCATGCAGTTCTTTGGCACGAAGGAGACACCTTGAACTTGGGTTTCGGACTGCCGACTCCCTACAAGATGTTATGTTTTGTTATCACACTTGATATGTGTGTTTGTTTAGTGTTTGCGCCTCTGCTTTTTCTCAGCCAAAAACCACCCCTGCTACCTCCTACACCTAATTCTCCTCCTCCTTCTTCTTTGACTACTACTACTGCCACTACCACCACCACCAACACTACTACTACTACCACCACTACTGCTGCCACCAATACTACTACTGCAACCACTACTACTGCTAAAATTACTCTATCTTTACCTTTGATGCAACCATTTCCTGTTACATTTTTCTTTCCTGTTTGTGAGCTTTCTTATGATGGCATGCGCTTTTTTGTGTTATGTTTACTTTCCAGTTCCTCTATTTTTTTACATCTCTCTTGAAGCAACGTGTCTTTAGCAACTCTGCAGGTTACATATTTCTTTGTCTATTATTGCAGAGTCAGTAGCGTTTTTGATTTCTTTCTTTGGATCTTTTTTTTTTTTTTTTTTTGTCAAAATTTATTCAGTCATTCATGCTTGATCTTTTTTTTCTTTCTTTCGGTGGTGAGTTGGCATCCTAGTTTTAAAACATTCCCACATTGTACTCTGGATTTTCAAGGCGATATTGTTCAATGCTTTTAACTATTAACTTGTCATATGTATTTTTCACTTCCACCAGATACTGTTGACTTATATCTGGTTGCTTCAATGCTCATATGTCTATTTGAGATTCCGTTGATGATTTCTGAACAGAATTTTAAAGTCTTATGTGCATTTTTTTTTAAACGGGGTGTTGATGCGAGTTTACGTCGGCATCTGAATACAAGTCCGCCTATGTTTCCCCGTCAATGTTGCATATCTTATAGAACCTTCACTCATCCATCGTTGAATTAGTCTTTTAATGTATGGATTCTCTGTTCTATTGTAGTGCATTTGACCACAGGAAGCCTTCACTAAGTCCGCTGTATCATAAAACGGCTAACACCCAGAGGAGCAGCAGCAGCCAGTTTATCATCTTGCTCATTACCCCTCACACGTGCATCTCTAGAAAAGAAAATCCACGTCACACTCCTCATCTGAAACATATCAAGGGATGCAAGTCACTGCACGTGTTGGACGTTAGTTTCTGTTTGCCGGAGCGTGTTCTATAGGCCCTTTACAATTATAAGTCGAAGAAGAATTAGGAGGAGGACAAAAAAGGAGAGGAGGTGGAAAAGGAAGACTATGACGAGGATAAAATACTTATGAGGAAAATAAACGATAAATATAAGGGAAAACAAGGTACGGAAATTAGGATTTAAAGTGAAGAAAGACATACCAGAATGATAAGAAAATATAACAGGTTAAGGGTGGGAAGAAGAATAAAATAAATATAATAATCAGAACACATGGAAGTTTCAAACGAACTCTGTGCTAATCTACGTTATAAACGAATGTCCCTTTCAGGCAGGCAGCGATAAACTCCACAGCGAAAACGTACTGTGAATAGCCGCGCTTGGAAATAATCTTCACACCATCTTCATGAAAAGCTAATATTATACGGTTGAGCGGTCGCCATTGTTCACGTATCCTGTTCTGTAAGAGATCCCCCCCCCCCCCCAAATAAGTGTAAAGAGATTGCGTATGGCGACTAAGTATGTAGAATTGTAATTAAATTTTTAAAAAAATCACAATGTGTGTGCAAAGATTATTAAATGTGAAGTAACTTCAAAAGATGCTTAAAGATGTAATGATATCAAGGATAATATAGACATAAAAGTTTGAATAAGTAAAAGTAAATGACCCTTTTCAAGTCAGTGTTGCTGGGAAGGCTAACCCGGTCGATAAATGCCCACAAAAGTGTTGGCCGAAAGGCGTCACTATCGCAGCCTTGCTGTAAGCGGACACAACGCAGTTACATTATCGGCTAAACGCAGAAGAAGAAGAGATATAAAACCGAGCGAAAAGTATATCAACAAGCTACAAAATATAACGAACATAAACAAAACGTGAAGGTTGCGGCTATGGAGCCTTCATCAGCACATACAAAAATAAAACAGTTCCACACAAAAACACACAATCACTTAGCTTAGTATATCGAAGCAATTAAACGTATATTAAAAGTATATTTTAAAAAAACCTAATGGTAGACAATATAGACAAGTTTGAGCAGAAGATAAAGAAGTAGTCAGTGTTGTACTGGGCACACAATGATAATCTCACATATTTATCGACCAGTCAAGATTCAACGGGGGATCTGGTAAATGGTGAATACCACGCAGGTCACCTTGTCCAGTATTTTACCTGGTACCTATTTTTTTTTTTTTTTTGCTAGAGCCTCCGTGGTGTAGCGGCTAGACGCTCACCTGCAGATCCGAAAGGTATGGGTTCCGGTCCTCCGAAGACGAATTTTTGTTTTCTGAAAAACGTCCTTGGCTCCCACGTGGACCCGGGCTTAAATAGGTAAAGCCCTGGGAAGAAAAGGTGGCCTGCGTGGTGTTGACCACATCACCCTAACGAGTGCCGACTGGTCCTTTACCTTTGCCTATCCTTTACAGGACATTGTCCCCCGTGTGGGTTCCGGGGCCCCATTGTGGGGAAAACAAGAATAGACCCACTGCCTCCCCAAAAGCTTGTCATAAGAGTCGACTAATTGGGGAGCTTCCTTTGAAGTCGGAGTGTATCTGCCGGATATCTGCAAGGAACTAACAGTCTGTATTCAAGAGAATGAGATCTGTAAAACTGATGCACAGGCAACACTCAGGTTCTGGAGCAGGACTGCAGTTCAGTAGTGGACGAGCAACCAGAACTTTCCGCCAGAGTGTACAGCTGGTGAACGCGAAGAAGAAGAAGAAGAAGA